CAAAGTGACTCGGGAGTGAAAATACGCTAAAATTCACATGCTAGTTGACCGAGTAAATGAACTCAAAACATGCTCAACTTTTACCAACATCATATTCATGATTTATAAGGAATTATAAGCTACTAAAATTGGCCTAATCATGCATGCTACTCAAAATTCGAATTTAAGGCTCTAAACTTCAAAAATTCGAAACTCAAGTTAAGCATGTGCATGACCTCATTTCTTTTCATGATAAATCTTAAATTATCATGTTATAGCTGGGAAAAATGAATAACACGAGCCAACCTTCACCGAAATGCTAAATGGTGCTAGGTCTCCTTTGCTCGGCTCTTTTCGTGCCCTTGAGGACTAAGGCTTGCTCCAATGGCTTAGGACTGCTAAAGATGGATTCTGGAGACTTCTAAAAATCCAAGAAAAACTTTGGATATGTTGAGCCACGAGTGAAATAGGCTGGAGCTCGGTCCTTCCTTTCCTCCCCCTCTTGCGCGCGTGTGGTGTTGGTAGGCTAAGCTCTCGGCCTTCTCTCTTATTACTCTCAATGTTTAGCTCGTTTTTACTAAGTGTCCAAGAATAATACCCAGCTGGGAAGTGGAGTATATGTATAAGAGGTCTTGGGCGTGACAAACTATGCTAAGGGATGGAGCAAATAGGAGACAAACTCCACCACATGCGCATGGGGACTTGGCGAGGTCTTGGACTTGCTTGGCCTGACTTTGCATGGTTTCTAAAGACTTTCAGAGCACAAATGCTGAGGAAAGATGCTCTGGTCAGGTCTGGTCAAAGCACCCATAAGTGGGGAGACAAGCTCTTACACATATTGAATAAAATATTCAGTAACACATGCTCCAATTTGGCTAATGACGCTTTAACTTTCCTTAATCTTTCTTCAGGGAATCTTAAGCTTAATTAGCCCCTAATCCACCTGGTAATAACCGCAACACTTAGGGCCTAAAGGATTTGGGCCACAACTCATGCATTTGGGCTTAGAAGTGGGCTGGCCCGAGGCTTGGGCGCGCTGGGCCCTAGACGCGACACTGGGCTTGGCTGCTGGCCTGGCACGAGTGCGCACGGGCGGGTACTGCTGGGCTGGCGCGAGCTGGGCGCGAGGCTTGGACTGGAAGCGAGAAAAGACTATGGCTGAATGTATAGCCATACCTTGGGCTAAAATGGCTTGATCCATGGCCTTAGCTTGAGGACTTGAACACTTAGAATAATTTCACATGCTTGGCCATGACTTAGACGAGGCTCAGCACGGCTAGAGTCGGCACTAGACCTCGGGCGTGACTAGGCTAGAAATGGCGCACACGGCCAGACTCGCGGCATTGCTAGGGCCGAGGTAAATACTTGACATACATACTTAGAAAAATTCTAAGTAATGCTACACGCACGGCTAGGACTTGATCAAGACTTGGCACTACTAGTGCTCGAGACTTGGCTAGGCACGAGACTCGTGACCGAAAAACTTGATTCCGTTCACGACTTGACTTAGACAATTTATCGAAATATACTCGATTTCGATTATTCGTCAACTTGGAATAATTAATCCAGACTGCTGATGTCCATTTCTAAAATAAATGGACCAGAATGAATTACTGAAACTGACTCGGTTACTGACTGAAATTAACCGAGAATACTCTTGACTTAAAGTCGTACTTTGAACTGAATAGTTGTATAACTGGCCCAGGACTCGAAACGAGCAATATTAATAAAAGGAATTAGTTCAAACTCGGAACTAAAGCTGTCACTTTTATTAATAACTGAACTGGGCTACTGCACATAGACTACCGATTCACATGCATACCTAGATCATCAAGCCAAGCATTTATAGAAATTAACATACATGATATTTAAATCAACTCCCACCTGATCAGTTTGGCAGATATATCATAAGATCGGATATAGGTTGGCTGAGGCTCGACTCCTCAAACACCTACAATTTACTCAAGATAATATTTTAAAAATACTTATCTTGAAGATTGGGAATTCAAAACGAAAATTCATATTTAGTCGAAAAGTCGTCGACTAAGTACCTCGTGGAATTTTGTGGAATTTGGAACCCTCTTATTTTAACGAATTATTTTAATTAATATGGGTTTTCATTACTAGACAAAGAGCACGGGAAACTAAACAAGTAAGAGCACATACACATCAATTAAGCAGATAAAAATTAAACCGGTAAGAACACAAAATGCAGTCAAAAGAAGTAGATAAAAGCACATAAACTTTGAAAATACACCAATCAAGAAATACAAACAACACAGCATGCCTACAAAGTGATTCAGCAATTAATTTAAGAAATACATACAACACCAACAGAGGCCCTATAATTTGAAATTTAAGCTCTGATAATAATCAAGCATAAATTCAGCCATATCAATATTATAACATGCTACAACAACTCATCTCATAAGGCCACAATTTGAAATAATCGAAATTCTTTTCACAACCAAATTAAACCTGCTACATTCTAACATTTCAAAACTCATTTTACCTCATGCAACAATACTAATTTTTTTAAAACACATAAAATATTTTTAAAACACATAAAATAGAAATAAAATAAAAAAATACACATAAATACAACATGTAAAGGCATGAAAAATTCAGTTCCAAATTTATGCTCAAACATAGCCAAAGAAAGGCCTCATCATTAAACTTTTCATGACTCTTCTTTTTCTTTCTTTTCTCAACATCATATCATAAATAATCAAGGCACTTCAAACTAATTCCAGGTTCTGAAACAACATGCTAACCAAATTCATCAAATAACTAAATCCCGATTTCTTGACCCCAGAAATTGATTTCTGGAACCAGAAATCATTTCTTGGATTTCTGGGACCGAAAATCGATTTCTGGTTCCATAAATTGATTTATGGAACCAGAATTCATTTCTTGTATTTCTGGGAATCACAGAAATCGATTTTCTGGTTCCATAAATCAATTCTGGTTCCATAAATCAATTTATGGAACCAGAAATCGATTTTCGGTCCCATAAATCATTTCTTGTATTTCTGGAATTTCTGGGACCAGAAACCATTTCTGGTCCCGGAAATCGATTTCTGGTCCCACCGATTTCTGGAACTAGAAATCATTTATTGGATTTCTGGGATTTCTGGGACCAGAAACCATTTCTGTGACCAGAAATCGATTTCTGGGACCGGAAATCGATTTCTGGTCCCAGAAATCGTTTTTGTTATTATTATTTTTTTTTTTTTGAAAAAATAGGTAGTAAGGATATTTTTGTCTTTTCAGATGCCAAAATGGCTAAAAAGAGTGTTTTTTTTTTCAAAATATGGCTAAAATTTGTGTTAGCCATTTGTACATGGCTAAAAAAAAATTCACTGTTAATATATTGCTATCATTGGAAAAAGAAAAGACTTGTATTTTAGACTTTTAGTTAAACAAAAAAGTGGTTACAAGTATTCACTACTACTACTGCTACAAATCCTATGGATTTTATGCATGTTTAGATGTGGGCCATGTGGCCGTTGAATTTTTATTTTTCTATTTGATGTATGTATTAAATGACTTACAATAACAACAACAACAACAACATACCCAGTATATTCCCAACAGGTTGGGGTCTGGGGGGTCAGTTGTACGCAGACCTTACCCTTGTAATTATATAAGGAGGCTGTTTCTGTAGCGACTCAAGGTGCATTGCGCCGTTTGATATATATTTTTTATTCTAGAAACTTCACTAATGGAAGAAACACTAGAATTTAATTGAGCCATTTTGATCTAGTCCATTTTTAGCACTATTCCAGGAGAATTGTCAACAATGACTTTTCCAGCTCCATTTGCAATGGACAATAATATTTAAAAAATTATTTGTAGTGCAAGACACAAAAAATAACACATCACACATGACACATCGATCATTGAAATGGAACGTAGTCATTCTGTATTTTTTGTGTTTTGGCCCACTTTGTGCTGCAGACTATTCACCTGGACATCTGTCTGTCTGGGTTCAGACTTTTTCGTTTTGGTTTTTATTTTTTTCTTTTTTCGTTTTTGTTTTCATTTTTTGTTTGGACATGTGTAGGTCTGTGATTTTTCCGACCCAATTGAGGGCTTGACTATATATAGGTTGGAGATCATACCTCAATCTCCCACCCTTCCAGGGTGTTTATTTATTAAAATAATAATAATAATAATAATAATAATAATAATAATAATAATAATAATAAATAACAAAACGTAATTTCATGTCTCAATGTCCAAAAATTAAAAAATCGTGCTTTCAATAACCAAAATAAAAAAGTGCGCTTAAATGGCAATTGAAGAAATTGTCGTGATCTATTTTATAATTTTGTCTTAAGTTAAAAGTATAACAGTGATTTGTGTTTTCGGCCACTGTAATAAGCTCGTTGATATATTTTATGAAAAGTAATTTATGTCAAAATTCAAACTTGTCCAATCTATAATAGCTAGATATTTAAGTGCAATAAAATTACATACTGAATTTTCAGTGAAACCTTCCTTATACTAAAGTTAAGTTTGGTAAACCTAATTGATAAAGTAGCTGATAGCTCATAAACGAATTTATAGTTTATAAGTGATTTTCGAGTTTATAGCTTATGATTTATAATTGAAAAACTAGCTAATATGATAAATGTTTGGTAAAATTAGCTGATAAGCTAGTTGAAATAAAAATTTCGACGAACTTATTTAAAAATTACTCAAAAAACCTTATGAGATAAACTCGTGTTTTTAGAAAAAAGTTTGTCCTATCAAATGAAGTTATAATCTAACAAAATAAGCTATAACCTCGCTTATTTGATTACCAAACCTAGCCTACATTACATCACGAAATCATAATTTCGGCATTAAGTGTTGGCTGGCCTTGCAAGCTTGGACAAGCGTTAATTGAAATCATAGAAAAAAAAAAATTAAAATCAAAATAATAAGATCCTCATGGCACATCATCATCATCATTATCAAATGGTAACATAATTGAAAGAGAAGAAAAAAAGAAGGAAAGAAAAAAGGAAAAAGAAGATAGGAATAGATAAGATTGGGACTTCAAAGATTCATTCAAATTTGGGGCCATATTACATAAGATGAACCATAGACATCCTTGAGTGCCCAAACCAAACCAAGCACTCCAACATTGGAGTAAAAAAATTCCATATATTCTGCTATGACTTCAAAGATCCATTCAAATTAAGGGCCAATATGACACAAGATGAACCATACACATCCTTGATGCCCAAACACCAAAACCAAGCACTCAAACATAGGAGTAGTCAAAAAAATTTCATATATTCCGCTATGTTCAAACCAAAACTACAATACACAGTGTTCCTTAAATGCTGGACATATAATGCAAAACAGCAGACATTACCCATAAAAGTGAATTCTCTTACATTCCCTTCACCCTTCTTTTCCTAATAAAAAATTTTCACTCATTCGTGCTATCAAAGCTGTCCGTGGCATTACCTTTCTTTTTCTCCCGAAAATTCTCCCCCCAGACCTTTGCCAGGGCCACAGCCCGCGCTCTCTCTGGGTTCTTGGGAGTCTCCCCAGCCCGGCCCGAACTCCCCGGGCTGTCCAGCTGGCATTCAACCGGGCCCAGCCTGCTCCCGGATCCAACTCTGGTCTCGATCCTCCGCAGGTCGGGCGAGTTCTTGTGGGCGGATGAAGGTGAGCCCATGTGGGGCCCGTCCAGGCTGTCTGACGTGTTCTTCCTCGAGTGCCTACTGTGCTTGAGGGTGGGACTGTTGGGGTCATAGGTTTGGGACGCCAGGTAGGAAAGGGCTGTGACCACGTCAGCAATGAGGGGCCGTGTGGCGGCCTGCTCCTGGAGACACATGGCAGCCACTGCCAGGGCTTGGTAGAGCCCGCGCATCGGGTAGTGGCCATGCAATAGTGGGTCGGCCATTTTCGGGAACTTTCTCCGGTCCCTAAAAAGGGGCCGAGCCTGGAGACCAGAAAAGAGATCCAAAAATACTAAGAAAAAATTTTGGGCAAAATTAAATGCATGCTAATTCGGGATTTTTTTTTTCATTTTGTATTTTCTTTTAACAACAAAATCGGGCAGCAGCATTTAATGCTCCCAGCAAAATTGGGGGGTATTGTTCAATTCAAATTCAAATTGCGGCTGTGAATATTTTTCAAAAATTTTGAATTGATTTTTCCAACCATTTTGGACGGATTTGCCAACCATTCCTTGATTTTGTTCAACTTAAAATTTCAAAATATCGACTTAAAAATCTGGTGTATATCAAATTGTATGCATTTCAAAATTCAAAAACACCAATTTCACACGTTTGTTAGATATAAATATTTTCCAAAAATTTTGGGCCCGATTTTTCCAATCAAAATACCGACTTCAAAATCTGGTGTATATCAAACTATATGCATTTCAAAATTCAAAAACACCAATTCACACGTTTTTTAGATATAATTATTTTCTAAAAATTTTGCACCGATTTTATATTGTAAATTGTTCGCGTGTTAACTCCACTTTGTTAATTTATAATTATTATTTAACATTGTTCACTCACTCACTAATTTATAATTATTATTTAATATAGTTTAACCGTACACGGGCTACGCGCTAGTTAATATAACAAAAATCAAAAAAATTATTTTCGTCTCGTCTTACCCATGCAACGAGATTATGCTCTCCCGCGGCCCGCGTGTTATCAATGGCTCTCCGGCCTGTGATCAGCTCGAGAAAAACGACACCAAAACTATAGACATCTGACTTCAACGTGAGCTGGCCCGTCATGGCATACTCGGGAGCACAATATCCGTATGTTCCCATCACGCGAGTCGAGACGTGGGTCTTGTCGCCAACTGGTCCCAGTTTTGCAAGCCCAAAATCCGAGAGCTTGGGGAAAAACCCTTCATCGAGAAGAATGTTGGAAGATTTCAGGTCCCGGTATATTACAGGTGGGTTGGCCTTATCGTGAAGGTACTCCAATCCCTTGGCTGCCCCAGCCGCAATTTTCATGCGTGTGTTCCAGTCGAGAGGCTCTTTATCGGGTGGTACATCTGTTCACATAATTTTATTGTTGTGTCATCTAACTAAGTGGGATGACAGAGAAAGTAGCAATATAATTGAGTTTGTTTATGCTCTTATGATTATTGGTTTAACTATTCCCTTTATCGAAACATTTTGAACAACATTATCTCTGTACACTGGGTGCAAATGAAACTATCTAGCCGGTGCCAGAAAAAGCATATCAGATTTTGAAACTGTCAAATGTTGCGGGCATTTGTTTATTCGGTAAATACAATCAAAAAATTAGCACAAGCGCAATGGATGAAGCTATATAGTATGATCTAGATACTAGAAAAAATTGGTCACCAAAATGGGTACTAACTACTAAGTAATATTTCCAAAAGTGAAGGAGGGAAAACAAGACTAGCTCAAGGTGTAAAAGCTTCAGGACATCTATCCTTTCTACAACATGATAGCTGATGTCCTTACCATTCTATAAGAGCAAGCAGCTGCATATTGTGATGCCAAAATTATCTCAAAGCTAAAACAAATGCATAGGGAAATTAAGAGGGTGAGCCTAGTTGCCACCCAAGTGAGGTTCCATTTCGAAACCAATTAGTGATAGGAATATAAACTAGGGTCATTTTCCCTATTTAATCAATTTGGGAGAACTCACAAGTGATATTCCAACATAACTGGACAATAAATATAATTTAGAACCATAATTGTAATGTTTCCAGAGAAATTCAAATGACCAATGTCATATCTGATTAAAAAGTGTCGTTATTGTCCAAAACTCACGAAGGCCAAACCGTTGAACTAAAATTGAAATTGTAGAAAAGCTGAAGGACCAAGTATAACTATTCCAAGAGAGAAAAATATTCACTCCTTCGACCGATGTTAAAAAAAATTCACTCTGGCCATTCATAAAAGTATTTAGATTCAGCACCTATGTGTAAGATCCAATTAAAGAAGTGTGCGTGATATTTAAATAAAAAATTGCATTGAAATAAGAATATCTAACCAGCAATAGAGAAAATAAAATCAGATGAGTCAGATTCGAAGATATCTTTATCTATGAATGGGAAGTATCTGTCATTATCTAGTTGGTATGACCAATATGGATCATAAGGACAATCATAGAAAAATTACAATCGAAATGAAACATATTAGTAACTTGTTCAGTGATTCTGGAATGCAAATATAGTTGCCAAGATAAAATATTTACAACATACTTTACGGGGAAAACAATATTCCAGTGATAAAACAAAGATTCTGAAGGAAACAACACAGATAAATATTTTAACTTGAGACTAACCATGTAAATGATCTTCTAGAGACCCCAATGGCATGTACTCATAAACTAGAAGTCGTTGGTCTCCATCAGCACAATATCCAATCAAGTTCACCAGATTTGGATGGTGTAACAGGCTAAGCATGAGAACCTCTACTAAAAATTCCCTATTCCCTTGAAGCCCATTTCGGTCAAGTTGCTTAACTGCCACAACCTGTAAAACGACCACTCTCCAACAGTGATTCAGCATAAAAATTAAGGATGTTTATCAAAGAAAATAAGTGAATAAAAGAAAAAAGCGAAAAAATAAAAAAGAACCAATTATGTTCTAGATTAAAACAATCTTCTTGATGTTTGTATCTATTATATTCTAGTATTCTACAATTAACCCCTTACCGATAAATTAACCCCCATCTCCCGTTTAATAATTAATTCAGCAATGAGAAATAACCCAGGAAAATTTTGTAACTTCAAAGATAACTTGATTTCTTTGCAATTCGGGCGCACCTCATTGCAGTGCTGTAATTTATCCCTAAATATTTATAATTCTTAATAGCAATGAAGTTTTCTCCAACTCTAAAATAAAGGATCCGGTACTAAAACAGCTAATTTTCATTCATGAAAAAAAAAATAAAATAAAAAAGCGCATGTAGAGAAAGATGTTGACATAATAATTCGATGAATTTTATTCGTATATATCTACCTGCCCCGTGCTTTCAAGACGGCCTTTGTAAACTCTCCCAAACCCACCTTCACCAACCAAGCACTCAGGTCTAAAGTTCTTTGTAGCTGCAGCAAGCTCACGAAACGTAAATGTTTGTGCAGCAATATTAGCTGTTGGCTCTTTTGGTAGCACTAATTCTTTCTTGGTATCAGTACTTCTCCGACCTTTCGATTTATCTAAAGATCATAAGGAAAACCATTAGTAGAGTAGACTACATGATAGTTGTAGAAAGTGGATTGCTGCTATGGAAGTTGTGAAAAAATAAAAGTATCTAATACAACAGCCAAAGGACATTCGTTTAAGAAAGAGTTAATTAAAATAAATACTACCCTTGAGGATTGGCATATTAAGTACACAACTATAAATACTTCTTGTTTTTCTTGTATAAATGCACTCTCAAGACTCAAAGAGCCGGTATCTGTTGAGTAAACACAAATCTTAAGGGGCTATTTCAAACACTTCTACGGGGCTATGCATATTTTTGAAAGACAAAAGGATTTTCTTTTTTAGTAGCATAAACTCCAGGATTGTTCTTGTGATTATACAAATTTTACCCAACGATAGTGCATACTCATGTCACTAACCATCCTTGATTACCCTTAAAGTCAAAACTAGTTCCAGATTTTGGTGCTATTACATTCAAATATTCAATATATGCAATGCTGCAGATTGAATATCAAACTTTCTGACATTCAAATCCTCAGGCTATCAATAAGTAATCGCACTACTCTGATTCCACCTCTGTGACCAATGACTACTAATTTTCAGGAAAAATAATCCTGATGTTTAACTACAACCCAGGTCCGAGTTCAAATCCAGAAAACAGATAAGTCATCTTTAAAGATTTTTACTAAAAATTTATAAAACTGAAACAAGTGAACCTTAAAGTTGCTGGATTATTGCAATTACAACAACAAATAACAAGCTAGCTGACTAAACAACCCATTTCACGTATACAATTCAGGAACTATCTTAACCTAAAAATTCAGATACTTGATAGAACACAGATCAAGAGAAAGATTAGATCTCCCTCTCATGTCACCACAATAGGAAAAGGGAACCAAGAATAACAATTCAAGCTCAAGATATTTCAACCCCACTTATCCATCCTCGGAATAATGCTAAATTATATATAAAACTGATATAAAACNAAAGTGCACCTGAATTCACTCCATTCACATGGCTATTAGAACTAACAGCTGATTTATCTTTAAAAGACTCCTTTTTGGCGAATTCTTTCACTACATTACCACTGTTACCACTACTTACTGCCTTCTTTGATGATCCAAAGCAAGGAATACACCCGCCCATATCAGCCCACAACAATATTCCCTAATCCCTCTTCACAGTTTTATGTATATTTTCATGTAAATAAAAAATTTCAACTTCCACAGCGTTTCCTCAGCTTTTCGAAGCAGCCCATCTCATGAAAAATCAATTCTTGGATTCTCTTCGGGAGATATTTGGCCAAAAGCACGTCATCGATCATCCCAGACAATTTCAAGATTTGAGATCAGAAAACTGGTTGTTTAAAAGAAAAGGCAGATCAACAAATCGAAGAAAATGCCGACTCTTCAAGAGGAAGGTAAAGAGAGTGGGGGGAAAGAAAAAAGCTCAAGGAGAAGAAGGATGAAAAAGGGAATAACAAAGAAGTTGTTCAACTGAACACAAATCCCTACCCTATTACATCATAGAGAGGAGATAATCGAGGACTAAACACACTATGCCAATTCCAAAGTCAACCTGATCAATCTAATATAAGGATAGAAATAATCAACCAAACTAAAAATACAAACAGAGCAACAATGGATAAGCCTACAAATGTCCTCAACCAACAGTGCACTAGATAAGTCTCCATCTGATGAAATCGAGCCAGAGTTTAAGGCAACAACAAGCCTGACCGAGTTCAGTGAACAGCTCACTGTAGACGAACCATTTTCCTTTGCAATACCAAGTGCCCATATGACAGTTAATAGATTGGCCTCCCAGCTGTTGCTAGCCCATATCCAACTTTCTTTAGCTTCCATAATCACCTTATCATGAAGTTTAGCCACCAATCATGCTCCTGTTTTGCCTTTTGAGGAAGATAGGACACTGACTTGTATAACAACAAGTCCTACTCGCTTGAAAAAATCTTCTTCATCAGCAATATCAGGAGTGGATTCTTGCACCATCATATCTGACTGACAGTTGTTAGCCATCTCAGATGACTCAAGCCCGTCCCTTTTAGCTCTTGTCACAACTTCTTGCTCCATAAAAGATGTCCCTCTGAATACTAGATTGTTTTTAGCCTTCCACAGTCTCAAGAAAAGGCATATAGAAAGAGATAATCTCTCTTTTATCCTGGACAGTTTCTTGCCATTGCACACCTTTTCCCACCACTCAGCTAGCCTGAAATTAGTATTTTTGAAATCCTCCCACTCCACACCAATCGGTTTCCAGCATAAGTAAGGTACTCTTATGACATTGGTAGAAAAGATGGTTGATGGTTTCAGCCACCTCTCCACACAACAAGCAGATATGATCACCAGAGATATCTTTGCTCCTTAGATTGTCTTTGGTGCTGAGAAAACCCTTCAAAAACCTTGACATAAAAGTCTTAACTTTTGGTTGAACATGCAACTTCCATGTCTCTCTCCATATCCTCCTTAAACTCATATCTGAAGTACTGGTTGAAGCCTGCAAATGATTTCCTGCAAAGTGTGTTCCAAAATTTGCATAAGCAGTCTTAACTGAGAACACCCCTCTCTTATCAAAACCCCACACAAATCTGTCTGTTTTCCTAAATTGACTAAAGTGAATTTTAAGTATTTTAGAGGCTGTAAAAGGATCAAAAGTTTGGTTCACTATCTCTGTATCCCACCCCTTTCCATCCCCTAACATCAAATCACTCACTCTAGTCAACCTATTCCTATCACTCTCAAACACACATTGAGGGGTAAAATCTGGAATTCTGGACACCCTAGGGGAGTTCCAGACTGACACATTATAACCATCACCAACTTGTACCCTCACTCCCCTCCTAAAGGAATCTCTCACACCAAGCCAACTCTTCCAAAGCCAAGAGTCTGAATTTCTCTTTTTTACCTCAAAGAGATTTGAATTGTTGAAGTATCTATCCCTCAAAATTTTGGTCAGAAGAATGTTTGGATGTGTAAGGATTCTCCATAATTGCCTAGATATCAAAGCATCATTGAAAGCCACCAAATTTTTAAATCCCAACCTCCTATCTGTCTATTTTTAGCCAAACTCTCCCATGAAGCCCAGTGAATCCTCTTCTGACCCTACCCATTTTTGCCACACCAGAAACCTGCCACTTCTCTGCATATATCAGAGAAAATAGTTATAGGAAGTATAAAGCTTGCCATAACATACACAAGAAGTGCATTTAGAACAGTCTGTATCATAATTGCCTTGCCAACATCACTCAAAAAACAATTTTTCCAACTAGCCACTCTTTGTTTTACTTTATCAACCACAAACCTAAATGTCTCTTTCTTAAATTTTCCAATCCCAAGAGGTAAACCCAAGTATTTAGAGGAAGACACATAGGCAATACCATGAAACACATCACAAATATCTTTTTAAGATTGGAAGGAGTATTGTGAGAGAAGTAGACAAAGGATTAGAGAAGATTTACAACTTGGCTAGAGGCCTCACCATATTCCTTCAACACATTTATCAACACAGAGGCTTGTTAGTGTTATATACTGAAAGCTTGGCTTTGCATGTTATTACACATTTACCCTTTATGAATGAGAATCATGTTAGATTAAACAAGTTCTATGTTCTGTTGTTCTGCACTTAGATAGGGTGGGTCGTCATCGGGCGAACCGAAGATCACTCTATCAGTCACTTGCGAACAAGAATAGTTGTTCACAACCTAGATGGACATGAACACCCCATCCGAACGGTTGTAGTGTCAACTGTACAGTTTGTCTTGACTGATTAGTTGCACTAGTACATTTATGTATTGAACAGGATCCCAGAGAGGAGAAGTTCATTTTATACTGATCGTCGTAAATGAACTAGGCCTCGGTTAATTACTGCGTTCTCTTAACCCGTAAGATATTAAACAGGCAGATATATATAATATATATTACTTTGATTCACATGGGTGAGGTTCAGTTCGCTGGATTAATATTCCTACTGTTTTGGGTAATATTATTATATATAGGATGTGCTGTTAGGATATTTACGGTCACCATGTGCGTTAGTTTGATGATGTCCCCGGAGTGAGTTCATGAAGGATTGTTATGCTAAACCCTGCAGGTGGATTAAATTCCGGCATAATAAGAATGTGATGAACGAGCGCTAGCTTCGGTGAAATAATAATAAATTAATTAATTCTTGATTGTCAGTAATCGAATTAATTAATGGACATTATATCTTAAACGTGGGGAGGTAAATCGAGTAATTATTATTGGAGTCTCAAATGTAATTTGGGCTAGGGAAAGGGAGTGCAATAATATAATGTTGGTGGCCCATTAATATTATTTAATTAATTAGAGGAGTGGGTTTGGCCCACAGTTAGTCTAATTAATTAAGGAGCCCTTTTCCTAATCTCCTTAGGGTCCCTACTGTAGCTCTATATATACATCATTAAGCTCATGAGAAGAGAATAGAATTCATTCTCACGTGAAACACGCCTCTCTCTCTAGATCTCATTCGAGCTTTATCTTCTTCTTGTTGCTCCACTGGTACAAGTTGAAGAAGGGTGTATTGAGTAATACAGTAGAAGATCTGTAGGTAAACCGAGACGAAATTGATTTTGACCTACAGAACTAACCGGAAGTCCGATTGAGACGTACAGTATACCCAGACGACCGTCTCGACGAGAGCTTTCCATCGCCGCCGACGTCGCCGGAATCCGACGCCGCACGCGCCCTCACGCGCCGCCGGAAGGTGTCTGGCAGCAAAATTTCGTTTTGATCTGTTTGCATCCGTTTGATCCAGTTTTGATCTGATCTTGTTCGTGCAACCCAAGACGCGTGTTGCGGTCAATCAATTGCGGTCAACCGTTCGTGGTCAACCAGATCTACATAAATTTTAAGCCGTAAGTTCTCTACGTCAAACCTTTAGATCCGCTGCGCATAGGTTTACGTTTGCTATTGAATTCGTGATTTGTACATAACGAGATCCTCACAGATCCCAACAAGTGGTATCAGAGCACTTGGTTAATTCGTTTTGTACAAAGTTCGAATTTTTACGGCTTTATTTGACAAGATGTGTTCAAACGCAGCCATATATTGGATTATATTTGCATAACTCGGTTTTGCAGGAAAATAGTTAATCCACTATTATGGCCGATTATGTGTTTGATGAATGTTGTTGAATGTGATGTATGGTTTTAAATTTGTTTTTAAAGCCTCGGGCATGTCGAGGAATTTATGGATGAATGTTTGTAATAATTATTCGCCCGGGGGTTGACCGGATAGATTTAATTATTTGTTTAGAAAACATGTACATCCATTCGTTGGATCTAGGATCGAATTATGTAATTTTGTAAATTATATTTTTCGTGTTGTGATCGTGTGTTGATAACCGGGAGATCACAAGAGATCAACGAGCCTCGAAGAAATAAAAAAAAAAAAAATCGGCGTTTTTCCGGCGAACTGGTGGCGGCGGCCGGCGAACCGGCGGTGGCTGGTGGCGGCGGCAGGTGGCGGCTGGTAGCTGGTGTTTTTGCCTTGTTGTCCAAGCAGTACAAGATCAACCAGGATTCTACTGCTTAAAGGAGTTCCAGTTGAACAGGGAAAAGAACTGTCACAGTTTCCTTGTTTAAGGAGACTCAATATTTAATGGCCATAATAGTGGATTTATTTATTTATTTAATTAAATTTATTATGCCATTAAATTATTATTTATGCATGTTAATTAATTATGTTCTTGCATGGGATTAATTTAGTATTGCAAGATTAATTATGCATGTTAATTAATTATGTGATGCATAGGATTAATTTAGAATTGTGTCAATAAATTATGCATGTAATTAATTATGTTCTGGCATGGATTAATTTAGAATTGCATAAATTATTGAACATGTTAATTAATTATTGCATTGACATAGATTAATTTAGAATTGCATGAATTAATATGCATGTTAATTAATTATTGCATTAACATAGATTAATTTGGAATTGTATAAATAGTTAAAAATCCTCATTAAATTATACTAAGTTTGAGAAGGGATTTTAAATTAAAGTTAATTGTAAAATTCCTAAGGCCTCCATTTCTAATTTGTCGGTAAATCAATTAATTGCGGCAATGGGCTCCCCCACGGGTGACATTGCTAAAATTGGTTGTAGGAAATTACCAGGACAAATTTCTAAAATTAGACGGTTAGAGGGAATCTTAAGAGAACGCACGGGCCTCCCCAAGGGGGACGTGTAATCAATTTTGACAACCTCAGAATCGAGAAATGGGATTCACTTAGAATGCGACTTATCTATAAACTCCCCACGGGGTCCCTGGATTTATTGCATGGCCAAATGGAGACCGACTATTAATTTCGTTAGTCATGAATGTGGTTTTGACTTATGGAAATTAATGGGCCCTTGAAAAGTCCTTCTCTTACAAAATGCGAGTTTGTAGGGCGACCCACGTAGCATACATTCTCACGAGGTGTAATAGATGTCGGTGAATTTAAGTTAATATTGTTTTGAGGATCTCA